AAAGTGAAGATACATACATACTCAAAAATACATTTCTAATAAAGGGCTCTCCCTCCTCGTCCAAACTCAGAAAAAAAACATAAAGTTTAAATAATAAGATGTTTGCTCTCCAGTAATAATTAGGCAATTAGGCTCTTTTATTTATTTATTTATTTATTTATTTTTCAGAATAACTGTGTTTTTGTTGTTGTTGTTGTTGTTGTGGTTTGGTTTTGTTTTGTTTTCCATGGAGAACACAGTTAGCAGTCCTGGTTTAACTTTCAGTAAAAGCACTCAAAGGGGAACCATTCTGTAAGTCCACCTTGTTCCCTGACATATCTTCACATCACCATTCTTTATCTTTCAACAAAATGCTGAACATACGACTATTGCTTCTTACCACAAGCAGGTAGTCATGGAGAGAACAGTAACAGTTGTAAACCATTTGACAAACTTTATGTTTTCATATAGAGTACTTTCTAATCCTATAAGATCCCCCAAACTCTTACATGACTCTTTACTGAATAGTGCAATACCTTGCTTGACAGCAAAGGACAACCTGAAAGAAGGAACTCAACTGCAGTATATAAATAATGCAGCACACCAGGATGGTAACAGTTAGGCCATCAATCCTTGTCAAGAACAGAAATTCAGAGTTTATGAAAACAATTTTTGTGATATGAAGGCTAAAGAAGATGCACCATGCAAACTGAGCAGTACCATCCACAACCATATGTGTGTTCCTTTGCAAAGGACTCTTAGTTGTTTTGTTGCAAAATTACATAAACCAGTCAGCTACCATAACTACTTGCAAATCAATTTGCTATTGCAGCTCACTAATGATTGTGAAGGAATAAAAGAAAAAAAAAAAATCATTTACTCTGATTAAAAACTACTTACTCTGTAACGGCATTGTTCCTGGGATAGGAATAAAAAAAAGCTCCTGTCAAAAGCTCAAGAACAGTGTCCAGAATCAGGCATGGGAGAAGCATTTGAGCCCCTATTCACAAAATCATTATCCTGAAATGAATATAATTTCCCTCAACTACCTTTTAACACCTAGAATGATAACTGTTATGATTTCTGGCAGAACTATTACTGTAAGAAACATCTGCTTTAGACAATGGAATAAATACATCTTAATCCCATGGATTCATAAAATTTCAAAACTGGAAGGAAAGAAATGATAGAAGAAAGATAATTTGTGTTTGGGTACATTTTCTTCTATAATTTAACAAGAGAGTATATTATTTGAAAGTGTGAATACATAAAGCATCCTTATGTATTGTTTGACATCCTGTACATTAAATATATGCTCAAATGTATTTAGTAAGCATTGTATATTGAAGTAGTGAAATTTACAGAAGCTGATACTAAGGTAAACACACTGATACTGTCGCCGTCCAAGGAGCTGCAGACCCAAACTAAAGGCATGACAAAATTGGTAGGTAAACAGTTGAAAAGGTTATAACACCAGTTCAGGGTGCTAGTCACAGATGTTGTTGGGTAGGTACACCACCCTTTAGTGGTATGCTATGTAATGGGTGTTAGACAGCTGAATATTGGTGTCACTATTGATGGAGAGAAATGGACAATTGTTCCTGCCTAAAACAACGGCTACATTTTTATTCAATTCCCTATATTGCTACATGAAATATAGCTTATTTTAAAAGCTGTCTCTAAAGAAATAAAATGAATAGCTATTCCCTTTCATGAGAATAAAACTTGTTACAAGGAAGAAATCTCCAGGTGACTCCAAACAATAAACAGCCCAGAAAATAACCAGTCAATAGAAATTTGGTCTAAGTATAGTAAAAATGAGCCCCAGTCATGAATCCCAGAAGAGCAACTAAACTTCAGAAGAAGACTGAGAAAGTACTTGCTACCACTAGCATTTTCACATTAAAATCAATTTTCAGAAAAAGAGCTTTAATAGTATTCTGATTTACAGAATCATCTGTACAGTGTCCAAGTTCAAATCTATTCCTCCACAGCTGAACCACTACCGAGAAGCAGAACTATAAATCATATTAAAGACACATCTGTGAAGAGATGCAAAATGTGAACAAGAGAACAGATGAGCTCTGCAGTTCTTTTAACAAATTTCTAAGGTGTTATTCAGATTTAATGGTGAGGCAGCTAATTTGTTTTTCCTAAGGTAAAAAGATGGCTCAATAATTAACTTGTATCTCTTTTTATTTGAAAGCAAAGTTAAAGTTTCTAGATATCAGTGGCTCATCTGCCTCTATTCTGCCTGTTTTCTATTCTGATTTGCTTACTATGCAGGTAGAAGGTTCATCTAGATTTCTGGCTAAAACATTTATTGCACAATGTTTAAATCATTTCAGAAAATGAATAAATTGATATCATTAACTCTAAACATCCATGTCTGAACTCGATGTGAAAACTTCTAGGAGATCATAAATCTCAGAACAAAAAACTCATGATTTTATCACAGCTCTCAAGGAAGCTGAGGTGGTTGGCTTTTTTTTTCTGAAAGCCTCTAGGATGAAGACACTGTATGCACTTAAATAAAACAGTATCAGCAGCTTGTAGCTGTGGACTAGAACTGCAAAATACTACTGTGAACTAGACATAAACATTTCTATAAATGTAACTTTTTTCCAGTCTTGCAGTCAGTGGGGGGATGCACCAGCTGATTTCTGAAAACCTGAGATGGCACTATGAAAAGAAAACCAGATTTTTCTAATCAGAGAATTCTTATTAGAATACCTCCCTAGGACTATGCTGAAGTATTAATCCAGGGTGAAGATGAAGTGCTGACTTAAGCTTTGCATTTAGTCTAGTAGTACAATACTGTAAAAGTGTGTCCCTGCTTTCAGGGTTAGAATAGAGCCCTGAAGTAATGCCTGCAGAGATTAATTTCTATCATAATAAATCCCCTTCTGCCTTAAAAAAAAGTATAATCTCTTCCCTTTCTAAAGGTCTACAGCATGAGATACTTTACTCATTTGAATGTGAAAGAGCAGTAGGTCACTGTACTTCAGCCTGCTGTGCTACAGGCTTTTCAAGCAGCTGATGGTTGACAATATGAAATACAAGTAGAAGTAGAAAACAGCTTAAAAAGTAAACTCTTCTCTCTTTTGTAGTTACAGAGTTCATTTCTATGCCAAGTATGTCTTCAGGGAAAAAGATGAACTATTCCTGTCAATTCAAATCTTTATTTGTAAGAAAGGGATCAAAAGTGATTAAAAGAGGAGCAGTTACATAATGCATTTCTGAATATTTTTTGCAACTTGTGGAAAAGATTTAATCCATGCACTGGTATGAGAATTTGGGGAGAGCAGCCATGCATTTGGATATTGTTTCATCACACAAAAAGAGATATATTTCCCCATGCTGGTAAACTGATACAACCAGTGAGCATCCAGCCTCCACTAACAGTCACAATTCTTTCTTAACACAAGCAAGGAAGCAGTTGATGAATGTCTTTAATGCAAGTGCCTGGACCCCTACTAATACAACCTTCCACAATGAAGGTGGCAAACACTACCCAGGCTCTCCTCAAACATATGCACTGACTTTATGTGGCATGCTTTTCGTAGCCTGCAGGGGCAGTCTCTGTGAGCAGAGCCCAGCAGCTGACAGAGATGAGCGAGGTCCACCTGCTCCAAAGGGACCCATTGCTATCCAGAGCAAGGCCATGAGTGATACTGGTTGGGCATCTGGGAGAGCAGATTGAAGAAAGAAGGAAAAGAAAATCCTGCTCTGCCACAGCAGCTAGGAGAGAGAGTTAAGAAATGAATGAGAAGCCTACCTGTGGCCCCCCAGGTGAGTGCAGCAGGAGGGCAGGAGGTGCTGCAGGCAGGCAGCAGCAGTTCCCCTGTGGCCTGTGCAGAGGCCCCTGGCAGAGCAGGCTGTCCCCCTGCAGCCCATGGGTCCCACATGGAGCAGATCTCCATGCTGCAGCCCCCCCCATGGGTGGAGGAGCCCCCGGTGGAGCAGGTGGATGTGGCCTGGAGGAGGCTGCGGCCCATGGAGAGCCCCCACAGGAGCAGGCCCCGGGCCGGAGCTGCAGCCCGTGGAGAGGAGCCCCTGCAGGAGCAGGGGGTCTGGGGGGAGCTGCTACCCATCCATGGGGGACCTGAGCTGGAGCAGTTTGCTCCTGGGGGATGGATGGACCCTGTGGGATGGAGCCGTGTGGGTGCAGTTCCTGAAGAGCTGCTGCCTGTGGGCAGCCCCCGCAGGCTCAGTTCAGGACGGACGGCATCCCGTGGGAGGGACCCCATGGGGAGCAGGGTCAGAGAGGAACCCTGAAGGAGGAAAGGAGATGAAGCGTCAGGGACTGACCGCAGCCCCTAGTCCCTGTTCCCCTGCGCCACTCAGGAGGAGGTAGAAGAGGCTGGGTGGGATGAAGGTGATTTTACTTGACTTTTAGTTCTCACTGCTCTAGTCTGTTAGTAATGGCTAATAAATTACATTAATCTCCCTAGTCTATGTCTATTTTGCTGGTGATGGTAATTGTTGAGTGATCACAGCATAGTGATCTGATTTCAGTTGTCATTCATTTTGGACATTTGCTAGACTTACCTGTTACTCACCAACATGTGAATCAACTGATATTTCAGCACCTGCTCAGACTTACAGGATGAGAGAGGTTTATGAAAAGGGAAGAATAAGAACTTAAATTGAGATGTTCTGTACAAGGCATTTAGTTTAAAGTGTTTGCCTCCCCATTAAGTTGTGTTTTGCTCAATTAAGACTTTGGGAGAGATAGCAAATCATGATGTGAACACATCATCATTACCAGTTACTTGTCCTTTGTTTTCAAAGCTGATCAAGGGAATCTGAATAGTATGCTCACATGTAATATCTTGTTTAGTATAATATTAATATTTCTTGCTAGACATTACTGTGTTTTGCAGATCTCCTGATACAACTTCAGGTGGTTTCTGTCAGCAGTCATCTGAGCTCCTATTGGTTTGTCCATTAACTGCTGATAGGCTCCAATTATATACTGACGACCATGACACAGTCAATACAGGGAGCTAGATTTCCTGTTTGACTTTACCTAAGTTCTGGTTTTGATCATTAGCTCCTCCTAAATTTTTCTTCAGAAGATTCTTTGTTTCTGAACAGTTGTCTATAGTTTCTGAACAAGCAGTCCTAATGCCTGATCAGAAAACAGCTCAGACACAGCTGCTCCCTTCCCCATCCCCTGGCTTCCATGGAGTCCAACCAATACCAGAGTCCAAAGGGTGCCCTTTAAGGTAAGCATTCTTAGGTGTTTATGACTTTCTTTAAATAGAAGGTCATTCTGTCACTTCCTTATGGTCTGGGAGCATTTAGGTACGTTATTATTGACTTGCAAGGTGCCTTTTCTTTCCAATTTCTGCCTTTGCTTCATTGGTGAGAAAAGAGGGACTTCTGCCAAAAAAAGAAGACTTATTCTGGAAATATCGCATTTGTGCTGTTAAAATATTCCTGATTTTCTTCTTTTTTTCTACTTTTTCTTTTCTTTTTTTGTATCTCCATTTTACCTTTCCATTTTTCTTTCTTTCTCTCTCTCTCTCTCTCTTTTTTTTTTTTTTTTTTCCTTGTGCTCCATAGCTTTTGAGGTTTATCTTTTGGCACCACCAGAGTGTGTGTGTGTGTGTATACACATATATATTTAGCTCCATACTTACACATACACTATATATAGAAATAAAAGTGGTGTGCTTTTCCTTTGTTTGCTCTATATAGGAAAAAAATCAGGCACTGGTTGCTAGGCAATTATTAGTTTCATCTGCACTGGCAAATTTATCTTTTCTCATACAAAGTAAATCCAAATTTGGAAGCTGAGCAATTAAAAAGTCATCATTAACAGTTTTAAAAACTCTTATTACACTCATAATATCCTCCTATCTTCACCAAAATGAAATAACTTGAACCAATGAGTTCTAAACATATTCTCATTAGTCTTTGAAAAGTATTCACTGATCTCTAGTTAACTCCATTTTTTGATACCCAATATTAAATACTTTATTTAGTCACATTTTAAAGAGTCAATAATATTTACGAAATAGGTGGCATTCAATATCCCGAATTAGGGATAACAAACTCACAAATTTTTTTTATTCAGTTTTCAGAATTTTGAAAAAATCATTTTGGTTTGAAATGCATTCCACAAAAGTCCTTAAATATATGTCTACATTTATTCAAAATACATTCATTTATACAAAAATACACACACATTCATCTTCATCAACAGTTTCAAAACATGCAAGAAAAATGTAGGAGTATTCTATTTTTAAGCAATACTCTAAACTGCAAAACAGATATGAAAACACATCATGAGGCAGTTAGCATTGGCTACATCTAAGTTAGAAAACCGCCAGGGAAAACATGAGTGGACTAGTGTTTCAAAGCATTCAGTGCAGAGGCTTCTGTATCTACATTACATGAAGCCTGAGGATTTTTTTTTTTTAGATTTAGTCACTTCCCCTCTAGTTAGAAGGTGCCCAAGTGACTAGTCAGTGGTTCAGATCCTTGAGTAGCCATAGGGGTTAAGGTGCATCAATCTCCCACCTGAGCACAGCTTGTAGCCTGATGTCCTCAGAAATCTAGCTCACACACATCAAAACCACTTTGCAGACTGACGCAAAGCAAGCATCGAATGTGGACGCAATCACAGGTTTTACTTCCAAAGCTCACTGTCATGCTAGAAAACTATTTTAACAGACATTGAACAGGCACTGAACACTCTTTCCTACACAAACTTTTTCTACAATGAGGTCTTCTCTTCTATAACAGCAAAGAGAAGAAAGCAAAATATCTGCAAAGTTTTGACTGTTATAACTGTCTGATCTTACTGCATTCATTCAATGCATTTTTTGTCCACGTGGATGTTTAAATCTATCCCCAACGAAAGTTCTGTCACCATGAAAAAAAATAAATGTCACCTATAGAGATACAACAGTATTGCTGGTTTTAATCATTTTCTTTCTGACTTTACAGAAAGGTGATGTTACTGACCGCATTCAGAATAATAATTAGGTAATGAAGATATGTGCCCCTCCTGTGAAAGATATGAAATAATAAGCACATTAGGGCTGTCAGCTACAATAAAAAAGCAATTCAGTTTATTTCAGATGGTGTAGCTAGCAGTAACATTAGAGCTCTGGGAATGAACGATGCATATCCCTTTGGTAATTTTTGGAAAGAGTCTGCGGAAAAGATGTACAGATGTATTTTTTTATCTTCTTTGGGTAGACATGTTCAGAAATAGAATAAAATCTAAAACTTCTGCACATGTAAAGATTCAGGTGTAGATTGTACTGCATACCTTTACTGTAAAAGGTTTCTTCTGGCCCTAGATTTTCCCAAAATAAAACACAAAATTCTATAAAACAACATACCTACTAGGCACATTTCAACTAAATGCATCAGGTAAGACCTGTGTTTTAACCTCATTTCACGCAGCTGAATGTGATGCAAAGACACTTAAAACAGGACTCGACAAGGGCTCGTACATTGGACTATGTAAAATTGTTTGGTTGCAAATACTTCACATACACCTGTGTTGTCCTGAATTGTGCAGCACAGAACTGACAATTAGCAGCCATTTGGCCTTGCTGCTTACACAATGTAGATGGTTCAGTGGGCATCCAAGCACTCACTGGTAAACCAAACCACATGGAGAAGGTTGCAGCTTGAATGAGCTTACTGCTTTTTGTTTGCTAGGGAGTAAAGTTTGAAAATGAAGAACTCGGAAGAAATCAAAGAAAAACAGAGAAGAAATAAATAAAAGTTAAGCCTGGCAGAGAATAGTATAAATGAAAGATATTCGCAAATGGAAGGGCTGAGAATATATTTTTAGTACAGTGAGCTATCAAAGAAAACTTAATAGTAATCTTAATAATGATAGAAATGGATCCTTGACAAAATGCTGTTCTATTTCAGCAAAATTCTGGACACAGATTCCTGTAACTTGTTGCTTGTCAGGACAACCAGAATACCAGATCTGGGGAACTGAAGTACACTGTAATTGCTTGCAGCCTCAAGGCCAAGTCATTGACCTGCCCTTCAACATCTCAGGTACATCCAAGTCTTAATAGAATGTCTTAAGCGAGCTCAAAAATTAAGCTGGTCTCCCACTCTAGCTTCATCTAGTAGCAAAAAAGAAAGTGATGCTCTGAGTAACTGGCCTCCTACTTTGGTTTACCTGCAGCTTTGTTTTACTAACTGCATCCAGGTAATGTAAATATGGTTAATTATGTTTAGGATGTTCCCAAAGAATTGTTTAAGGCATGTTTGAATTATTGTTCTTCAGCATTTAACAGAGGTCTAAGTCTGCATGTATAACATGTATTTTTAAAAACATTGGACTAGGTAGACAGTTAATACAAAAGGAAAATAGAAATAAAAAAGGTAAAAACAATTAATATTATGAATATATGTATATAGTGAATAAACATATTCCCTAATAAACATATATATATATATATATATATATATATATATAATGCATACAGTAGTTAAAGTATGCAAAATAAAATTATATGCCACTACTATAATTAGGAAAAATAGAAAAGTGCCAAACTGAAAACAGTAAATGAAGTCATTTCTGAGAATAATTCATTCAAGTACATTTTCTTGCACTGCTAAGTGGAAACTTGGAATTTCATGGAAAACTCATTTTGCTCTGCATAACCTCAAATCTCTTCAAGTCGTAAAGATATGAGAATAAATACTTTCCTTGTCATTAAGTCTAAAATAAGAGTAGATTAAATTTCACAGAATCACGGAATTGAAGGGGTTGGAAGGGACCTCGAAAGATCATCGGGTCCAACCCCTCGGCCAAAGTAAAAAACAATACTGCATTTTAAAACAAAGCATTGGGATACTGTGGAAACCCACTCAAGCCAGTGGATTATTCTGGCAAAGGAAATATTTATACTAAAAACACCTCCCCCAAAACAACAACAACAACAACAGATTGAGAGAACAAGTATAAATTCTAAAGATATTGATGATATTTCTGGATTTTTGAACGTTTCTAAATGGCTTTGAAACCTTTAAAATACATGAAGAATACTATCTGAAAAGAATTCTGGGGTGAAGGTCGTAGTGGTATTGGTGGTGAACATTTTCAGATCTATAATTTACATCTGTACTAGAGGTATTTAGTATTTGTTCAGTTCTCACTAACTAGTTATGACAAATATTGCAGTTGTGAATTTGTGTAATGGATTTTACTGATTTTCTTTTTTCCCTAGAAAAAAAGATTTATCTGGAAATTAAAGATGATTTACAAGGAAACTTCAGTACACTTTGTTGTGACACATTTGAAATATTGCCCAATGCTGACAACACACAAAGCTGTTTAGTTTCATCCAATCAACAGCTGTTGACACAGAAATGCTGTGCAGAATACCCACTTTCTAACAAGAACAGATGCTCTTTCTCACGTCATTGCTGTCATACAGAAGCTACCTGAAAATACCTTCTTTCAACTTGTAAATTCTTGTGCCTGGACACCTACAGAAAGAGAGCAGTGATAATACAGCAACAGTATTAATACTTTGCAGCGCTTATTTTGCTCACCTGCATTGACTCACTGTTCAGAGCAGGACAAGTTCATCACTGCTCTCCTACTTCCTCCTGTCCTTGTACAACAACAAAAGTTCAAACTACAAACATTTTCATACAATTAACATCACTTGGTCATCTTCCTTTCTTTCCCTAAAGATACAATTCAGTAAAATTCACTTCCTCCTGTCTCTAGTTCCATGCCCTGGCTTACAAATGTTATTCTTTAACATTTGCTGTTAGTATCCAGTAATTTATTCCAACAAGAAAAGAACACAGTAGTTATAGCACAAACAGGTGATTAGAGAAGCCTCATTATTCACTGACAGGAAATATAAAAGAGTTATTGTGGGTACACAAAAATAGGTTGCTACTGGCTGATCCTGACAAACAAAGGGATTTCAGTAAAAAAGAGTGATAATACAATATAGGAGTGCAGTCTGGGATTCAATGTATTTCTTCTCAAATGAAGCTATTAACAACCACTCAGAGGCTCATTAAGGAATTCCTTTATTTTTCCTTGTATTTGTGGTTCTCATTAAAGGAATCAGCCATTATTTTTTTTTGTGTGTGGTAGTTGCATGTTTAGTCCTGGGACTTTCAATTTTTTTCCCGTTCCTCTGAGGACAGGCTTAGATTTTAATTTTGTTCTAACAACAACAACAACAAAAATAATCTGTTGATCCCTCCCCATACTAAAGTTATTTTTTATAGTAAATGCATGTTCTATACATGTATAGCATGCATAGTAAATGTATAGCATACACAGAAATGTAGAATGGTTTGGGTTGGAAGGGTCATCTGGTAAAGATCATCTCATTCCAACCCCCTGCCATGGGCAGGGACACCTCCCACCAGACCAGGCTGCCCAAAGCCCCATCCAGCCTGGCCTTGAACCTCTCCAGGGATGGGGCAGCTACAGCTTCTCTGGGCAACCTGTGCCAGAGCCTCACCACCCTGTGAGGGAAGAATTTCTTCCTTATATCTAATCTAATCTCTGCTAGTTTAAAAATGTATTTATTTTAAAGCTGTACTGCTGTGCCCATTTCTGTATTGCCCAGGGAATCAGCTCATGGGTCAGCAACACCATGGGTTAGCTGCTGCCACTGCTTTGCCTTGATCTTGACCTCAGACTAACACTCTGAAAACATTTCCCACCACGCAGTCACAGACCACCACCTACCATCATATCTCAGTTGGCTACCACTAAGGGCAAGGACATGATCACCTTCCTAGATCAGATTTCCTCCCCATTGGAGCTGCAGCCAGAGCTGCTCTGGACAAGCCAGGAGGCAGGTAGGGATCCCTGTGATTACACTGCCTCGTTACTGGCAAGAAGCAGCAGCACACAGCACACAGCTGTGCTGGAGCATGCGGATTGATAAAAGCATTATTTGCATAACACTTGGTGTTCCTGCAGGTTTACAGCCTAATAAATCTCCCAGGGAAGTTAAAAGCAGAACTCTTACTGACTTCCACAAAGCTGGAAGGACACTGGTGCTCAAGATCTTTAAGTCAGGAGCAGTTACATAACATATTCTAACAAGATCAGCAGAATTGGTTTAAATCCAAATGCGACTTGCATTTCTCTTGTGCGAGTCCAAAGTAACTCCATTAGTTTAATGGCATTATTCCTGTTCCATATTGTCAATAAAAGCAGTACTTGAATCAGTTTCTCCATTACTTATTTATACCGTATCACCATTTATACCATTTATCACCATCATTTATACTGTATCACCAAAAACAATTTTTGAAACAACTTCTTTGGGTTTTATTTCCTCACAGTCTTGCTTCTATCCTTTCCTCTAATTTCCTGTCTCATTTATTTTTTAATCCAGTAATGTTTCAACTATGTTTTCCATTTCTCATAAATTGCTGATCAGTTCTGCCTTTTTTTAGCCCAATTTATTTTTATTTGAACTTCATTCATTTGGTAGTTAGTGTTTGCTTTTCAATTTGTGTACAACCTTTTAGAATTGTTCCGCTCGTTACTCACCTGCAAGAATTTTCTGGCTAAGGAGGTTTTAAACTATTTTCAAGTGTCTACAAACTTTCAAGCCCTTTAGTGTGTTCTAGTGACATTATCAGTACTGTCTCAATATTAATTTTGATTGCTGAATTTCTAAGCCACAAATTGCTGAAAATAGCTTCTGCTAGGCCTGCTTAAATCAAACTTGTAAATCATACATGTAAGGTAATTTGGAGAAATAAATTAAAAATACTATCCCTTATTCACGTTTGTGTTATACAAAAAAAAAAAAAAAAAAAAAAAAAGTCAGACATTTATTACATTTATGCACAAAATTATTTGCTGAAGCCTCCTGCTATGTTATTCAGAAATAAAGTGATTCAGGTTATGACAGCTGCATTCAAGATATCAGGATACCGCGCATAGTTCAAGACAAATCACTTCAAACTAAGCTCCTGCTGGATTTCAGCATTTTGCAACCTGCTTCTTCTTTACACATCTAGCCTGGTAGGAGACTGAAAGGAAGACAATACAAGATGAATCTTTTCCTTGCAGCAGGTGCCAAGCAAGCTGGGATATAAACTTTTGTGGGGGCTGCCTAACAACATTGTCCAAAAAGCTTAGCTATTAAAAGCAATACAAGGCATCACAATAGAAAGTATCTTGAATAACTACAGATCAAAGACAGATCTACTACTGTACTGTACTGAATTCTTTTATTTTCTGGGAGCATGATATTGTAGTGGGTTTACATGGCCAGGTTTTGGTAGCGAGGGGCAGTAGGGTTGTCTTCTGTGAGAAGAATCCAGAAGCTGACCCATGTTAGATAAGGGCTGGCCAGAGCCAAGCCACTAAGTGATGTTGTTTGCGCCTCTGTGAAAACAGATTTAAGAAAGGGAAAAAAAAAAAAAAAAGTGCTTTCGGTTTATTTCCTTTGTTTCTCACTTCTCTAGCTTATTAGTGATAGGCAATAATTTTTACTAATTCCTTATGATGAGTCTGTTTCGCCCTTAACAATAATTGTTGAGGGATCTCTGTCCTTATCTCTTCTCTTGAGGCCTCTCCACCCTTTCCCTTTTATGTGAGGGAGTGAGTGAGAGGCTGTGGTGGAGACTTTTACCTCACCTGGGTAAAACCACCACGGCTATAAATTAATAAAAGTAAGGATGAACCAAATTTGGTAGGATTATTTGTCAGAAGTTCAATGAAGACATCACATCTTCCAACCTCAGATAAAACATCATGTAAAGTAGATTAAAAACCATGACCACAAAGTAGTTAAAAGATAGCCAAAACATAGAAAGTACATTATTTGAGTGCTGGAAAGCTCTGTCATAAAAATCACTGATCAAAAAGTTGCAAGTGTTATATATGGAGTGGTAATTCGTGTCGAGAAAATGGTTTATATTAATATAGAAGGGGGAGTGTTGAGGGATTTCTTGAAACAGCAAAAATCCCATGGCTTGCTGTAGCTGAGCAAACCAAGCTACCAGGGCAACTATGAGAAGTTCCCATGACAGTGTTCCCACATCGCCCAATTGAGGAATTCAGAAAAATATTGTTACCAGTAGCTGGCTTCAAGGACAAGGTCTATGTGACTGCTAATCACAAGGGGGTTGTTTTCTTGCAGGTGGGGTTGTTTTCTTGCAGTTGTTTGTCTGAGTGCTTTTGACCAATAATCTTGTGTGAAACACTGTCCACCCCTGTTAAGTTCTCTATAAAAGTTAGGCTATTCGGGCAATAAAATGGAGCATGATCTGACTCTACTGTGTGTCTGTCGTGCTTTCGATCGTGCTTCCTGCAACAGGGGAGATGTGGGAGTGTAGCCATGGGGGTCAGCAAGCCCCATCGCTGATGATAACATCAGACTCTTAACGATAAGGCCATCAGGAATGTGAAAGAGTTTAGAGGGAACAAAGAAGGGTGGTTCAGGAGACTCCATGCAGTCTCGGATTGCTTGTTCTCCAGCCATTAAGGCATGGAAGTTTCTGGGTGTTTGCTGTTATATGTAAAGTTATTTGACCAATGAAAAGTTGTTTTGAAAAGAACTGCTCTGGGAAGAAGGGTATAAGAGGGGAGCCTGTCCTCAAGATAGAAAAAAGGCAACAGGATGAAGTTATGTCATCAATAAAGAAGTAGAAAGAAGGAATGAAAAGGAACAGGCTAGCAGAACGGAGACCAGGACGGGAACAGGCACATTGATTGCCTCATGAAGATGGGTTCGGCCAGACTCAGCAAACTGCTCAGAGAAGCTCGTACAGAAAGTCGCTGGAAATAGGCACACCGGAGCTGGGAAGAAGCTCAAGCTGAGAGAAGCGGAACCGCACACACAACTGCCCCTCACTGCTCAGCAGTTGCGCATTATATGGGAATCATACGTCCTTAGGAACAAAGACTGTCCTGGTAACCTTACAGCTTATTCCCTTTATTAACAATCAGACAGTTTATGATCCTGAAACATGGGAGCAAACTGAGGTCAAGGTGTGGGACTCTGCAACTAAAAATGACAAGGTTGCAGCGGGATTGCTCGGCACTTGGCGAGCAGTCTCTGAGGCCTTAAAGAGCCCTGTGGGACCACAGTCAGAAACGTGTGGTTTGCCAGACAGTGAGGGAGCTGCGGGCTCCTTTACTGATCCGACTGCTACGCCATCAGCCCCCCCACCACTACTGCCATCTCAGGCCTTTGCTGTTCCGCCCCCTGCTGACCTGGACATGCTTTTTGACCCAGGCCCTATTGGCCTTGAGAACGAGATGGATATGCTTTTCTTCGGTCTGAGAAGAACGGGATACATAAGGCCTGAAGGCCAAGTTGCTTGACAACTTAAAGCAAGGCATATTGTTCAAAAGGAATGGAAAATGGAGACTGTTAAGTCATGGAACTTAAAGGATTGTTTGTTACCTTTTGTGATTGTACATATGCATAGGTGTACTTGGGTTTTGTATGTGTTATAAATGAAGTCTCAACTCAATCTGAATCTAGTAATATTTATACTTATAAAAGGCATAAAAGGCAAGTA